ATATAATGGCTAAATTATTCTCAGATCATTAATCAAAGGTGTATGACGTATATAGTATCACAGGAATCATTCTAGCTACCTACCAGTTTCACGACAGTTCCCTGGCGTTATAATGGTGCTGAGATGCTTCTCAAATCTAGCGCTGGGATGACCGCTGTCTGGAAAATTCTGAGTATAAGATGATCTAATACAGGCTATATATGGGTCTCTCGTGATTAACAGGAATTAGTCAGACGCTTCGCATGATGTACATTATATCCAGGAGTGATTAGCATGCACATTTATTTGAAAAAAGATAACCTATCCCAGGCAGATATGTTATATACTATACTTATGAAAAAGTTTGGAATGGACCCACCACTATACATGCTGTATCATATAATAATCATGAAGACTCTTCTCACTTTCAACCAATAGAAGTGGGATCAACCAGCTAATTATATGATAAAATATTTTTGGTGAGTCCTACAATAAAGTAACGTCACACCACCCACATATAGTATACATTTGGTTAAAATGACTCGCAAACTAACTTTATTGATTAATCATAAGAAATATTAGCTATAATGAAAAAAAATTTCTATAGAATGTGACCTGAGGTCACAACGTCATGTGTATGGTGCAGTAACTTAATCTATCTTCTTACAGATGCAAACTTAATCAATATTTTGTCAATTTCGTCTTGATCTAATTTTGATATTGCCGATGCTGTAAAGGATTTAATCCTCTGAATCTTATCTTCACCAATTGCATTAAATAACTCAAAAATTTTCAGAGCCCTTTCTTTTTTCTTCCTAAGTGTGTTATCACTTACAGTGTCAGAAAGTTGTTTACGAACTTTTTTATTAACCAATGCCTGAGCAGTACAATTAGGATTATCTTTCTTGTAACGATTAAAGCAATCATCAAGTGCTTTTCCAAAATTAAAATATGATTTAAGAATATCTCGATTCACATTCTCTATTCGTTCTTCCATCTTAATGATAACATCAAATAAAACGAAAAAATCCCCCCGTAGCATACTATCTTCTATAACTTCTTGATCTTGAGGCATTTCAGAGGATAATTCCTCAATCATTTTTTTCAATTTGGGGGAGACGTTCCTATTATCTAATTTACTAGCTTTTTTATTAGGTGACACTTCTGAAAATAAAGGATCATTAGAACGTTTTTTCTGGGAGTCATTTCAAAGTATTGGTGAGTCATTAAATAGTGATAGAGATATATTTATTAAATCATTGTCAATCAGATTTCTGGGTAACTTGAGAACTGCTAATTCCACCTCTTTCTTACAATTAGGTCTTGGACATAATAGACTTATTTTTATAGAGCTTTCAATACAATCACGATGGTATGTATGTCCACAGCTAAGTATGGTAAAGGGTCTTTTTATTTCATATAAAAAAAGCTTTTCGTTGCATTTTAGCAGGGCTCTTGTTCTGAAATAACAATACTTTTTGCAACCTTTTCTGGGGATATATTATTTAGGATATTTAACGCAAGAGTTTCAAGATATGAAATATTAGACAT